CAATATCACTTCCTCATGACTTATTTTATAGCTGCCAGTTTGTACTTTTAATCTCCTTTACCCAATTTGTGCTTCACTCCCCATCCCCTCTTCTGTCGAGCAACCACCGGTCTGTCCTCCACATCTGTGAGCCTGGGTTTTATTTTGCTCTGCTTTTTAGAATCCACATACAAGTGAACTGGCAGTTCATCTTAAACCAAAGATTTGACCAGTAATCACAAAGAAGAAAATGTACAAGACGGGCTGCGCCGTGCCGGGCCTGAAGGAAATGCTGGCGGAAGTGGGTGTGTAAGCGGGTGCAGCCCAGTCCTCCTTGTCAGAACCCCAGCAATGCCCACGCTCAGATCATTTTGTCCATCACACTATTCAACAAGACAGACTAAGGGTAACTTTCAGTTATCTGTTCTAGTGACAGCTTCATTCCAGGCCTTTATCTGTGGGGACCCCCTCGGCTCCCCAGTGTTGATCTGAAGAGGATTTCAAACTGAAGGCATTGGAGATTGAGTAGAGGCAAAACCAGCTCTGTCAGTTTCCCTTCTCTAAGGGCAGAAGCTCCCTGGAGCCAGGCTGGGCGCTGCGGCCTTTCTCGGGAGGTCTTCCCTGGCTGGAGGGAGGTTGGGGGGAGCACTCGCACCTGCATCAACAAACTTCATGGCCAGCTTGCTCATTTTTTCTCCTGGAAACCCACTGTCTTTCCTAAATAAACCCTGTAAAGCCCTGTTCTCCCTCTGGCTTCCTCCCAGGAAGTCAGGTTCTAAGCCCCGCCCTTAATTCACATGCACGTGAACAATCCCACGTGTTGAATATTCTCATTGACAAGCAGAAGCAGCTGCTCGGATTCATCTGCCTTTGGTCAGTTCATTAGAAGGCTCCAAATCACCGGACCTAAATGGGGAGAGGAAAGGGTTCTCCCCTTAGCAGCCCTGTGAATAGCAGTAGGACCCATCAACTGCCCCCCCCCCCCCCCCCGGCCCCCGACCCTCTCCGGAACAGGAACCTAGGGAGGCCACAGCCATTCCAGTTTGAGGGTGCCCGAGTGACCCATGTCTGTGCCAAGGGGCTGGCGAGAAGCCACCAAGCCCGGTCTTAAAGCCGAGTGTCCACCTGAACTTGCGGGTGAGGGGCCCCCCAGCCGGGCCCGGCTTGCACGACTGCTCAGCACCGTTACTATCCTGCAAGGAGGTGGCTTCCGACCGCCGTCAAGCCCCGCGTTGGCCGGGCCGGGCCGGGCCGGGCCTCCGGGCTTCTGCCCCTGGAGCAGCGCCCGGCTCACCGAGGCGCCTTCGCTTCCCGACCGCCTCCGCTCCAGGGGTCAGGACACGGGGCTCCGAGCCGGCCCAGCGGCCTGACAGTGGGGCTCCACCTGGGGCTCAGTGCGGGCGGAGGTATCCTTAGGAAATCAAGCGTAAAAGGGACCCGAGACCTGACATGCGGCCGGCCCTGCCGGAGGCGGCTGCAGCGGCCCGGAGCAGTGCTCTGTGCTGCCCGCCGCTGGGCTCCGACGCCGGGGCACCCTGCCGGCCGCGCACGCCCCGCCCGAGGGCACGTCCGGCCGAGGGCGCGCGGCGACCCCCGGGCCCGCTTACCTGTCGCCTGGGCGAGGGGCGAACGGGGGCCTCCTCGGGGGAGGCGCGGCCGCGGGGCCCGGATCTGGGCGCCCCCAGGTCGCGGCCGGAGCGGGGACCGAGGGGGCCCGCGGACGCCGCCAGCAGCCCCGTCCGTTCCCGGAGCCGAGCCCCTCCCCCGGGGAGCGGCGGGCGGGCTCCCCTCGGGCCCCAGCGCGGCGCGGCCGCGGGAGCCGAAAACGCCCGCGCCAGAGCCCGCGCCAGAGCCAGTGAGGCCGGTCTCGCGGGTGGGACCCCCCACCTGCGCTTCGTGAAGGTTCTCCGGGGGATTCATCCGTGCAGCCCCTGCGATCCATCGTCTAAAAGGATTAAACCGTCCTACGAGAGAGCTTCCAGCGCGTCCGAAGTCGAGAGGGGATTGCAAAGACCCATTTTATGAAATGATCAGAGAGTCTAGTGTAAAAAGTCAAACGAAAGGGGCGTCTTACGTTGTCGCTGACTTTTTAGGTTTGGGTTTTGAAAATTGGTCTCAAGTACCGGCATAAAAACCCAACCGCCCCTTAAAAACCTTGCATTGACTACACGTGCATTGTGTCAACAAATACCTCCCCTTTTCCAAATGTGCTTAAAAAACAACAACAAAAAAGTGTGTCAAAGAAAAGGTGAATTTTGCTGTAGTCTGCTGTAATTTGTCCCCCCTCCCAAAAAGGCTAGCCAAGCAAATTTGAATCTGCGAATGTCCCCAAGATGCAATCTGTACACTCCAAGCTACTCCTTAGCAAATGCAAAGGATGACAAGTGTCAGTACTTCATACAACTATATTTAATAAGTTGTTATTACAGAAAAAAAATGAAGTCCAAACTACAAAGTTTAAGCAGTTGTAAGCAATAGCTGCATTGAGCTCCATGTGTAGTCACAGTACTGCAGTTCCATACAAGCAATATTCGTCCAAGCCCCAAAGGCGGAAGCTGAGTAAGGGTTACTAGCAAAAACAATCTAAGAGAACAGGTAATAAAAGATACAATACATTTAAAATTAGTTGTTAGTTGAAAAACAAATACAGAGATCTTAGCTGTGAACACTCTAAAAGTTATGTCCATTATTTTGACAGCAAAAATACAAATACCTAATACTTTATACCCCAACAGAACTATATCCAGAAAAGAAAGAGAGCAGAAGTTATCCTGTATTAGCACCCGAGTTTTCTACTTGTTGCCATTAGCATCGTCATACGAATTTAAACATCCCCAAATCACATATCCACTTCTTGATCCATTTTGGGGTATAAAGTCAACAGCATTAATTATAAAATACTTTGTGGTAAAATGGAACACTATTGCAGCTGAGATAGAGAAATTTGGTTATCATATAAAAAAAGAAAACAACCCAAAATGTTAGCTGACATACCATACAAACTGGTGAAAAAGCAACATTCCATACAAATAAGCCAGTTTTAACAAAAAGATACTTTTTTTTTTTCACTAATCTGTGACTAATCTTTCACTCAAACCTTGCAAGTAGAGATGTCACAATACTCAAATATTTAGGTAGGAGCTTTACCCAGTTAAATGCCATTTTGTTGCTAATATAGTAGATAAAATGAAAACTAGCAGTTACTTGCTAATTGCATAAATGCAGTACACTCTGCATGAGCCCATGCCTCACTAACAAGCTATAGAACACAAGAAATAGGCAGAAATCTAAGCATAATCTTTATAGCACTAAGCAAGAATTTCCAATTTCTTTTCTTCTGTTCCTAATCATTTATTTGTAGTTAAAATGTAAAATTCCAACCCGTAGTACCCACTTTGAGTCAAAATTTTACATCATGACTTGATCTAATCTATATATTATTTACAGAACTGAATACATAGAGCACACCCAAGAGCCAACTCTGGACACACGTTCCTCCAAGTTATTGATGAGCTCGGCTCCGTGGCAACGGAGCTGCAAGAGGCCATCAAGGACTCGTAGAAACACCATCGTCTAGAGCAAGTCATCGAATGTTCTGTTTACGCAGCACCAGTCTCGCAGTCGTAGAGGACTAAGTGTCGGTGCCATTACGTGACACGGGGCCTCGCCGGCACGGCTTCCGGGGGGCGGGGTGTTGGCAGAGCAGGAGGGCGGGCAGCTCGTGCTCCGGGCGGCCCGAGGTCGCCACGGTGAGGGGCACGCGGGGGCACCGTCACGGGGCGGGTGGGGTCGGGGAAGACGGGGGCGGAGACCGTCCATGTCCAGTGGTGACGGCCGAGGGCGCTTCCTCAGCCAGCCGGCCCCGCCGCACACACCCTCGGAGGCGGCGGCGCCGCCCCGCAGCCTCCCCCGCTCTCGGGCGCCCCCAGCCGTCGCCACTGTGCATGCACGGAGGCTGCGGCCCGCAGCGAGGCCGGCTCTCGCCCCCGCTGCGGCTCCCCTCGCGCCCCCACCCGTGCGCGCGCACAGGACGGAACGCGGAGTCCAGGGGAGCCCAAGGCAGCGCTCCGGTGGCCTAGCCGGGTGTCCAGGCTGGCGGTGCTCGGCGGGGCTGGCTCCGCCGTCCGGGCCCCCGACTCGGCTGCACCTGGGGCTGTATAAATCCGCTGCGACAGCCCTAGACAACCGTACTGTGACATCCCTAGTCTTACACTAAACCACTGTAATAAAGGAAAAGGCTTGTCAAAATCTCACATGTTCTGCTCATTCTGTCATTTTATTACCCAATTATCCATTACATTTTCCAATCGCTTTACATAACCAACCATGTTCATCGTTGTCACACTATTGTAAACCACATCAGCAAGTTAATACATAAAGCTTTGCATTTCAAAAAACTAGACACTTTAGTAACAATATTACAAAGGTTTTAGCTTCAAAAATAACTGAAAATGAAAAAAATAAACTTTTAAAGAATTAGCATCATAAAATTAATTTATTCCAAGTAAAAATACAAAATAATATTATGACATTGACCAGATATGAAAGTCCCTCCCAGAAACAACTCTAGTAATGATTGAGAAAGCACTCCTTAAAGAAAATACGAAATAAAATGAAAAATATGTAAATATGTTTAATTTTTTTCTTAGCAAAAAATCTTTCTAAAAATAACAATGAAAATTTGTCTCAGTACAAAGGCTACATTACTATTGAAAAAATACCAGCATGAAGAAAAGGTACATATTTGACAGTAGAAAAATGATTTCAGTGAATCACAATGTCTAAAGTTTGCAATGAAAATAAATCTGCAATAAAGATTTATGCCTTTTTTCTTTTCTTTTTTTTTCTATTTTTTATACAAACAGTACAAACAGTATTGCACATAACAACAAATAGTCGAGGTTAGGTTATAGCCTTCAAAAAATCGACTAGTTCAAGTGTCACATCAAGGAAAGGCCACAACAGGACCTGTGATACCCAGGGGCTTCCCAGTCAAGTTGCAGGTCAGAACACCTCTTGTGTTTTAAAAAATAATTTTTTTGAAGGACCCTCTCTTTTAATATAACATTAACAACTTGGGGGCACATTTATTTACAAAACAAAAGGGAACATGTTATAATTTAATAAACTAAAAAAGTTCTCTTTAAAAAAATACAAACAGAAGAACTCTTTCACAATCCTGGTCAGCCGAGCACAATCAACACTTGATTATAAATATACAAATGAAGGGAAAGTAGTCTCCACCATCTATCCACAACTTTCAGCACCAAAGGGAGTTTATTCTTTGTAACCTATTCTTCATGACAATGGTTTTCACCTCCACATCAGCTTCCCGCTGTACAAAGCTTCCAGCTTTTTTTTTTTTTTTTTTTAGATCTCAGTGTTGTTTTAGTACATGAAAGAGGGGTGCTTCTTCAAAAAGTTTTGCTTCTTTCACATAATTAGGTAGATTTCTGTAGGTTAGATATGATCTTTAATATTATAGTTATAAAGCTCTAACTTCTTCATTTTCAAAAAACACAAATAAGCATGAAAAAAATAAAGTTACCCATCTGTTAAATCATTTTTTCTTGCAGAATTAAATTAATATATATTTTTCTGAATAAACTTACTTAGAAAATATCATTTTCTTTCCTATATTTCAAAATTGAGGTATTGCAAAAGATCATGTCAGTCAGAAAGCATGCCTTTTTCCTTAAAAACAAACAAACAAAAAAATCTTCAGCCAACTTTTGAAAACTGTCTAGAATACAAAAAGTAGTAGTGCATAACAAAATTTCTTGTACAGATGAAAAAAACCACAAACATAGAAAAAAACAAACAGAAAACCACAGCTGGGCTGGAAAAAAGCAATTATTACCAAAAAGCCCAGAGGTAACCTCAAAAGGGGAGAATTCTAATATGCATTTTTAATCCAGTAAAAAACTATTTTGTTTTTTCCTTTTTGAAAACAAACTATAGTTTGAAAGCTGGTAATTGCAACTAAACACTGGAGAAACAAAACAAAACAAAAAACAAGCAGTATTAACTTAAGACACAGGACAAGGACATCACAGCACATAAAACACAGCGACTTAAATCTATTCTGCAGTGTCATATCCAGTCAGATTGTCCCCAGAATTCCAAAACATAGGAAGAAGATAAAAAAAAAAAAGAAAAAGAAAAAGAAAAGAAAGATTTACATAGTCTCACAATCATTGTGTTTATATATTACTATCTGCAGCCCAAGAGTGAATGCTAAAAAAATGTCCACGGTCATTATAGCAGGTCTTAGTTCTATTCAAGCTTTACAGGATAAATCCAGGGAATTAAGTAATTTCTCACCCAGACAACCAACCCTGCCCAGGCCATCTTGTTTTGGAGAGACATTTCTTTAGCATCACTGCCACGCAACTTTCTTAAAATGTGCCTAGTCTGTCAATCTGACATCTTATCTCTATATACTGTATATATTCCTAGTGTTTGTAAGCTAAGATGAGCTCTTTGGTTTTCTGGACAAGGTCTGAAGCTAATGTAAAATGGTGCGAGCACTAGGAGATTGTAACTAAGAGCTCATGTGTTAGTTAATAGTATACCAGTTATGAACTGTCAAGTTCGTTAATGTCTGACACAGAGGCTTTAAACAGTTAAGTTTGATCACAGTTAGACATAATCACTTTACTATATAAAATAAATTGCACAATATATAACAGAGCACCGCAAAGTACTTCATCTACCATCCACAAATTTGCTTTAAGAATATCCTACACCTAGGTTTTATATTGGTTGTAATATAGGTCATTCTGTTATGGGCTCTTCCTAATTTCAGAAGCATTCCATTTATTGAGGCATGCCTTCCTCCAGTCAATTACCAATTCTTTTGAGTGAAAAAAACTCTTAAAAAATCAGTATTTTATAGCTTATATAGATTCTTAATTTGTGCATTGTGGGAAGGTTTTATACTAGACATTGGATATAAAATTTATTGCATGCAGCAACCTGATTAAGTAAACATGCAGTCAGAAATAGTGACCTTCCGTTGAAGCTTTCTGTTGTCTACTCTGATCTCCTTTCGGCAGCTGATTCTACCCCTAAATCACAAACATGTGTTGTTGGGTTTCTTTAAATTGATACCTTAGCCTGAAGAGAGTATTATGGTATTAATAATACCATCTTAATAGCAGCAAAAGCTATTGCAGCATAAATTTACATAACACTAAAAGATCTAATCAAAATCCTCAGCAAAACAAAAATCAAACATGAAGGAAAAATAAAGATTCAGCTTATGAGGTATCCTTACATGTCAAAATAGAAAACTAAAGGCCTATTTTCATTAAGGGTTACCCTTACTCTAAATGACCCCAACTAATGATTGCTGAACTGTTGTGAAGTTTTTGCTACATCTGCCACCTACTCATGAGTATTACCTTTGGTAAGTCTTCTCCTAGGGGCAACTCTCTAAGTTTCTGAAAATAAGTGCATGCTCCAGTTCAAAAACAATCAGAACAACAACAACAACAACAACAACACAACAAAAAAAAAATCACAGACGTCAACCTGATGGCCGCTGATGAGAATGGCAGTCTACGAGTGACAAATCAGGTGTAAGAAATTAAGGTACCAAGCAGACAAAGGTGTGAATCAAAGTGCAAATCAGTACCGTTATACACTCTGCAATTCTGCATTATACTGGACTGAGTTCAGTAATATGACTGTAAATAATAGTAATAATAAAAAGACCCATTTCTTCTTTAAAAATCGAGAACGAATGCACAGATTTCCAGAACACTGTAAGCCCTGAGGCAGTGCCCTCTCTTTTTCCCTCCTTGTTATCTACTCCAGTACTTGTGGCTGGGTCTGCCCTGGGCTCAGCTCCAGCGAAACGGGACATGCCGAGGGCGGTCGCCTCCCTCCTTCACTAGCGGTTTGTGGAACTCCCGCCCCGCACGGGAGTGTATGCTCGCCCAGCAGTATTCACAGTAATACTGCAGACAGGTGACGTTGGCACAGAAGAACGGGGCAAACTTCCCGCCACAGCGCGTGCCCTGGCACTCATCACACATCTGATCATCCAGCACATATGGCTTCACTTCCACCTGTACCCAAAGAGAAGAGACAGGAAAACATGTTTAGCAAAGCTTCATCATGTTTCTTCCTTTGAGGACTTACAGTATAGCTTAAGGTGTGTCAGGCAGACAAAGGTGTGAGTCAAAGTACAAATCAGTACTTTGAATTCAGTGGTACTGGACGGCACCTGAGAGTCTGCGCTTTGTGTGTTTTTTTTTTTTAAGATTTTATTTATTTTATTCATGAGAAAGAGAGAGACAGAGAGGTAGAGACACAGGCAGAGGGAGAAGCAGGCTCCACACAGGGAGCCTGACATGGGATTCGACTCCGAGTCTCCAGGATCAGGCCCTGGGCCGAAGGTGGCGCTAAACCGCTGAGCCACCTGGGCTGCCCGAGTCTTCACTTTGGAATTGGTTGATTTACAGGTTGTGTGATCACAGGCAAATTCTTAACCTCCCTCTGCATTTGTTCGCTTTTCGCTCTGTGAATCTGTAAAATGGGTATATTTTATACATAGTAGTGCACACATATTTGCATATCTGTAAAATGGGCACAATGATGCCCGCCTCCAAGGGTGCTGCTGCAGGTCAAGAGAGGTAGTGCATATACAAGGACCTGGATCCGGAAGGCCAGGCGGCATTGGCCATTGGGGGCGAGAGAGAAAGGGGGTCAGGAAGAGGAACCAGCTGGGACAAAGCTCACAAACAGGCACAGGCAAGGAGTGAAGTTGGGGAATGGTGTGGTGTGAGCCAGCCCGGCGGGGCATAGTCACACTGGCTGGCAAGACAGGCTGGGATGTGATACCACAGCGAGGCTCGAGGCCTTAGTGTTTTAGTGACAAGGCTTCCAAAAGTCTGTCATCCCAGGTCTATCACACCATGCCCAAGGGACTAGAGGGAAAAGTGGAGGGGACTAGTGACCTGCTAAGCTATAATAATTGAGACTTTCATATTTTTTGGACTTTATTCCTTAATCTCCTATCACAGCCCTTCAGGGGACAATTCATAATTTAAACAAAGCAATGTGGTATAGTGGAAACCAAAAGCAAGGAAGAACAAAGTTGCCAGAGTTTTCCCTATGCCCTCTTCCTAGAACCGCAGAAAAGGGACATCATTCGTGTTTGCATCTTGAATGTTAGAAATTAGCACAAAGGTGACAAGTCTGTGATCGGCCCCTTCCCATGCAGCCCTCCAGGACGATTCTGGGGAAGAGTGACACCATGGCTACTAGAGAGACAAGGACACTGGGCTTTGGGACAGGGGGTAACTGCCTGGCGATTCCACCTGCTTCTGGGTGCAGCCAGGAGGTTCTAGCAGGGCACGAGCAGGGCAGCAGGGTGGACAGAACGGGGTGAGCAGGAAAGATGGCCTACCTAGGATCAGACACTCAACTTTCCTGGCTCCTCTCCTCCATGGGAAGGCCCCTCTGCTGGCCTCCTCTGGAGTTCTGTCTCTGGCCATGAGCTCCAGTCCACAGGACCAATGGCCAGCCAGGTACTCCAACTTGGAAGACCCGCCTGAGAAGACCTGTAGCAGCTCTTGGTTACCCAGGGGGAAATGTCCTCTGGCTGGAGTTCCCTTCCTCCAATCTCCTCCCCCTCTTCAACCTGACAAGTTAGTGAATGGGCTTCAAAAACATCTTTTGCGTTGATCTCTGCATCATAATTAAATCTGTACTGGGGGCAGCCCAGGTGGCTCAGCGGTTAAGTGCTGCCTTCAGCCCAGGGCCTGATCCTGGAGACCTGGGATCGAGTCCGACATCGGGCTTTCTGCATGGAGCCTGCTTCTCCCTCTGCCTGTGTCCCTACCTCTCTCTCTCTGTATCTCTCATGAATAAATAAATAAAATCTTAAAAAAAAAAACAAAACAAAACTGTAGTGCCTCTGGGCCACGTCAGTAGCTACGCAACCTGAGGCAAATTTCTCTTAGGCAAGGCCACTCTGAGCCTAGTCCTCATCTGTGCACTGGGGGAAAAGGAGAATTCACACCTGATGGGGTTCCTAGGGGGATTAAATGAGGTCAATATCATAAAGCTGCAGAACAGGCCTGGCTTGGTTTGGATTCCTCCTGCATCCCTTCTAGTCCTGGCCATCCCAGCCTGTCCCAGGTACGTTCACTACTGACAGACAGCCTCTGCACCAGCCACCAAGCTCCAGGCCTTCCCTGGCTCCCCCAATGACATGCTGACCTTTCAGTTAATCTGCTCGCAGTGTTCCTTCCCTGGTCACAAGCTATTCCAATTCTTCAGTGCTGACAGGAGTAGGCCAAGCTGCCTGAGTCTGACAGGGTGCTCTGCTTCCCAGGACTCAGACATAAGCTGGAGGCTGCACCATCTGCCCCAGGCTCCTTAGCTGGGCCCCAACTCAAACTCCACCTGGGCTCTACCTTTACTTGTACCTTCTTTCCACCTTAAATGCTCAATCCACTCAATTTTATGTACCTACTGAGAGGCCAGGTCTTTTCTTTTTTTTAAAGATAGATTTATTTATTTATTTATTTATTTATTTATTTATTTATTTATTTAATATTTACCTATTCATGAGAGACACACAGAGAGAGACAGAGAAAGAGAGAGGCAGAGACACAGGCAGAGAGAGAAGCAGGCTCCATGCAGGGAACCTGACATGGGACTTGATCCCAAGGTCTCCAGGATCACACCCTGGGCCGAAGGTGGCGCTTAACCGCTGGGATGCGTGGTCTTTTCTTTTTAACATAAAATTAACAATTTTAAAGTGATCATTCAGTACCATGCACAACCACCCCCTCTATCTAGTCCCAAAACAGCTTCATCCCCCAAAGGAGATCCATTGCCTACCGAACAGTTATCCCTCCTCTTGCTTCCCCAACCCCTGTCGATGGCCTGCCTGCCTTCTTTCCCTATGGATTTACCTATTCTAGATATTATATATGAATGGCATCACACAGTATGTGATCTTTTGTGTCTGAGATCTTTCACTTATTATCACCATAAGTTGAGGTTCAATCCATGATGTAGCATGCAGCAGTATTTTCTTTTTGACTGAATATTTCATTATACATGTGTATGTGTGTGACAGACAGACACACACACACACACACACACACACATTTTGTCTATCCATTCACTCACTGATGGGGAGGTTTCCACCTCTTGGCTACTGTAAATGGCGCTGCTATGAACATGTACGTACGTGTATTTGTTTGAACACTGGTTTTCAATTCTTTTGAGTATATACCTAGAAGTAGAACTGCTGGGCATATGGCAATTCTATGTTTAACTTTTTGAGGAACTGCCCAATTATTTTCTATAGAGGCTGTACCATTTTACACTCCCACCAGCAGTGTCCCAGGGTTCTAATTTCTTTACATTCTCATCAACACTTGTTGTTTTCCATTTTTGTGATCTACCATCCTAGTAGGTGTGAAGATGTATTTCACTGTGGCTTGATTTGCATTTCTCTACTGACTAATGACACTGAACATCTTTTCATGTGCTTGCTGGCCACATGTATATCTTCTTTGGAAAAAGGTCTAATCAGTATGAATATATTAAGTGCTCTGGATTGTTCACTTTAAAATGGTTAATTTTTCATGACTTGATCTCAATTAAAAAAATTAATTTAAGCTCTTAAAAAAACTGGAGGGGGAAAACCCATATAACTAACTATATTCTATTATCATTTTTTATACCTAAACAAAAGTAACCTTTAAAAAAATTACCAAAATGTCTCTCTGTGCTAGACTTGAATCTCCTTAGTTGCTCTTTTCATATCTGTATGTATTATAAACAGCTATTGTCATTCTAGAACTGGACAATCCCCTGCCCATTTTTAAATTGTATTGTCTGTTTGTTCTTGAGTTGTAAGTTCTTTATATCTGCTAGATACTAGACTTCCATTAGACATATGATTTGCAAATATTTTCTAAATTATTTTACTTTGCTGACAAGGTCTTTTGATGCACAGAAGTTTTTAATTTTGATGAAGTCCAATTTATCTATTTTTTTCTTTTGTTGCTCTTCCTTTTGATGTCATATCTAAGACTCTACTGCCAAGTCCAAGGTCATAAAGATTTACCCATTTCCTTCTAAGAGTTTTATGGTTTTAGCTCCTGCATTTATGTTGATTTTTAGTTAATGTTGTATATAGTGTGAGGCACAGGTCTAACTTCATTCTTTTGCGTGTGGATATCCAGATACTTCAGCACCATTTGTTGAAGAGACTGTTCCTTACCCAATGAATGGCAACCTTGTCAAAAATCAATTACAGGCCCAGCCTTCCTTAACTATTTCAGTCCTACAGGGATCTATTCCCTTCTCCTTTGAGCTTAATACTCCTTATTGCTCCTCTGGCATTTCTTATCTAGAGCCTTTCCTTGGTCAACATCTCTCCTGAGCTTCAAGCAACTTGATGACAGAGTCCTGGAGCAAGACAGGACAGTGGCTGGTCCAAAGAAAAGGGTCTTCAGGGGTTGTGGACTCTTGTGGGAATGAGGCTATTGGCTTATGAGAGTATACCTAACTTGGCCTGATCTCCTTGCATCTGAAAGTCAACAAGGAATCAAAATGGTGGAATGAACCCCCTCTGCCCTGAAACTAGAGGATTATTGGTAGAGGCAGGGCATTCAGGGAACAGGTAGCAGCCTGCTTTTCCACCTCCTCAAGTCCAGGAGCTGAAGACCACTTTGCTACTACCACTATACTCAGGGTACTCCAGGTCAGAGAGAGAACTGGTCTGAACAAATAATTCACATTCAGCAAAAGAAAGCTGCTGGAGGAGAAAGACAATAGTCATTTAATTATAAATACAAATACAAACTTAAAAAGAGCATGTAAGGAGAATTTTTATTTATACAAATAAAAAAAAGCATGTAGATTCAAGTCTAGCACAAAGGAGATACTCTGGTAATATATATTTTTTAAAAAGGTTACTTTTGTTCAGGTGTAAAAATGGTATTGTGGTTGTATGGGTTTATCTTTCCTCTGTTTTTTTTTAAGAGCTTAATTTTTTAAAAGATTTTATTTATTTGAGAAAGAGAGCATAAGCAGGGGG